AGGTGGCCATAGTATTTGAGTTTCATCTTCAGGATCTGGCCTTCTAAAGAGCAGTCAGCGTTGATCTCCTCTAGGACTGACCGGTTTGATCACCTTGTAGTCCAAAACACCCAGGGGTCTTCTCCAGCACCATAGTTCTTTGGCGCTCAGCCTTTCTTATAGTCCAAACTTCACAGCCGTACATTGCAACTGGGAAAACCATAAATAATTGGTTAAATACCAATTACCCATTTCATAAATGGAAATCCTGTTTGGAAATCACTAGAATCATCAGATGAACCAAGATATCATGTTAGCCAATTTTTAGATATCCCGTTCAACTGTCTGCATTATCTCACCCAGTTGCTAAGATTTGTTTATCATTAGTTTAATGTGCATGATTATATTTCTGATTTAGCAGTTGTTATTAGAAAATATGAATTTGCTCATTTTTTATTAATAAACTATTTCTCCAAACGATTACTTGCTCCAATGTGTTGGTAGTTCCTAATTTATTTCATGTATTCAGTAATTGCATAATTATGCATGTTTTGAATCAGAACATTATGCTGTTTTTGTTGTAGTCTGTGGGGCCTTATTAGACAGAAAGGGCTGGGCCCATCCACCCGGTGGTTTCATTATGTGGTACATTCAAAACATGCTCCCATGAGTTTTCTTTAATATAACTTGTTTCTGGTGAAAAAGGCACAAGAGGTTTAGTAGTAATATATGTTCTATTTTTGTAGTTTTGCTCACCGTCCTCTTCTCCTTCATTTTTTTCTCCTTTCTGTGTCCCACTGGAATGGTTACTAGTGGAATACAAACAGTAACTGTCAAATGCAGACTACAGCAGAATTTTCTAACAATCTTAGGCAGTTTGAAAGATTCCTACATGGAACCATTGTCACCCTAAGTAATTTCTCACTTAACTACAAAATATTTTTCAATCCTTGGGCAGACAGTTTAGATACAATACAAAAAGTACTCTAAGAAGAATGTTGGAAATGTTAAATATACAGACCTGGAGAGTTTTGTAAATGGTTGCCTTGTTGCCTGTGTTTTAAGCTATGTACTATTCTGTTATAAAAATTTAACATGTAGAAATCTCTGTGTGTGTGTGTGTGTGTGTGTGTTATACAATATAGCTGAGATTCTCTTTTTGTATTGTGTTTTTCAGAGGGTAATTTTCAATATTGTCAACTTCAGTAAAACAAAGAGCCTCTATCGAGATGGCATGGCTCCAATGGTAAAATCCACAAGCCGGCCTAAATGGTAAGTTAACACTCAGTGAATATTGTCTTTATGAAGCAAGCTTCAGCTATGATATTTTAGAATCATTTCTTTTTTCTTTGTGGGGTTCATTAAGCTCTGGTCATCTTTATTCTCTTTGTATATGCTTCACTGTTCTCCTTCTAAAGCAGCATTTGTTCTGATAGTGTGTGTGGACTGACCTTGCAAATGAGTCAGTGTTAGTATTTGGCTCTACCAAGGATGAGTGATCTCCCTGTCACATTTTCATAGCATTTCACTGGATAGTGAAATTGAACGCTAAAGGATGGATCACTATAATGTTAACCGTTTTTTTGACTAAGGTTATATGGGGCAATTCAAATGATATATAGAACTGTGTTCTTTTACACATGGCAAAACAAAGCAAGACAAGTAGATCAAACCATATTCTTAAAGCAATTTGTTTGTATTGAGAATCAGAACCAAAAGCTATATTACCTGTGCTGGGCTATTTGGATACAGTTAGCAATTTTATTTTGTTTTATTATCCTATGCCAAAATGTTTGTGATTTGTTGTATCACTCAGTATGCTATTACAGCTGCAGGTATGTGAAATATTGTTGTCTTCTGTTTACTCAGATCTTATATGAGGCAATTTCAAGCACAATTATGTATAGATAATATTAAGCAAATGTGTGCCACCTTCTGACCTCCCTGTTCCAATAGCATGTCTTAATATTTCCCAATTAACTTTAGAATTCCCTTGAATAGTCCTTATTATGTTTTTAATGTGGTTTCATATTGAAATATAATTCTATATAACCCGTGTGGAAAAGACCCTGAAACTAGGAAATGAAAATTCAGCCTTTTCCAGTATATTTAAAAGTGACATTCTTGCATCTTTTGTTCAATAACATACAGACTCAGTTGTGAGCGAATATTTTTGGCAATATAGTGTATATTGGCCAGTTGTTCATATGTATACCAGAATATATTTTTTTAAAAAAAATAATGAGGCAGAAATTCTGTACCAATGATAGACCCTTTTCATTTTATCTTCTTTGTATTTATCCGGTATGTATAAATAAAAGCAGTAGAAACACACTCTTATTCAGACTAATTATTACTACATGAAATAACAGGATTTACTGTAAAATAATGCAAATGAAAGTAAAATAAACAATAAGGAAAATAGAATAAAAATATAAAACTAAATACATAAAAATAGTTTGGCCATTGTGCTTGACAGAACAGAATACGTATTATTGACACCTCATACACTTTTTTTATCTTTGCACCAAACATGTTATGTTCCATTAAATTTTAAGAAAACTACTACTTTCCATAGTAACCTTATCACTCTTTATTATATTGGTAATTATACTGTATCTCACTTTTTCACTTAAAGCTTAGAATAACTTATAGGTGTTTATCCTGCCTAGCAATTTCCTGTTTAGATATGATAGATAATTTGATTTATTTAGCTTCTGCAGTTGTAACCAAAAATAGATTTTTCTTTCAGGACATTGATACACAACCCTGAAGAAGAAATCATTCTGTAATAGAAACCAAGCAGACATAGTTAATGAGCAGCTTCTTTCATTTGCTGCACAGAAAAAAATTACAGATGAACATTGTTTTTGTCATTAAAAGTACTGTACCTACACATTGACTTTCTCATGAAAACATTTCCAAAACCATTATTGGTCCTTATCTTGTGACAAGTCTGTGTTATTTACATTTAATTTAAATATACTTGTACTTATAAAAGTAAAAATACCCTGCATATTTTTCAAATATAGCCAAAATACTCTGCTTTTCTAAAAATGAAAGATAGCTGTAATTATATGCACTATAAATTGATAGTTAAATGCATTGAGATCAGTGTCTTGCTTTTTCCTAATCTTACATATCTTTACCTAATACCTCTGTATAGACAGATTGGACTCTTAGTTGGACCCAATTAGGTGTCTGAGAGAGGTGGTTTTTAACTTCTCTACTTAGTTAGGTTCAGATCAATGATCATCATAAAAGATACCAGAGCATAACAGGTACCAAGAGTTCTGATACATGCCAGTCATTAATTCTATTCAAAATTCAATTACATTTGTTGGCATGCATTGATTAACTTTGGAAAGATTTCAAACACACTGTATCACATAGTGTTAAAGCAGGGTAATAGTGAGCATTTTTATCACCCTCTCTTCTTTTTCAGGGCTAGGCTGATGTTCATGCAGCCAAATTTGCATTCCAATAAATACAGTAAAATGTACAATATAATAATACAGTAAATTGAGTCTGATATCAGTGACTCCAGATTTAATTTCAAAAGACTGTCCTGAACAGCTTTACAACTTTCTCAAAGGCCATGAGACTGGAGACCATTCTAATCTTGGAGAGTAAAGTATTTCACAATAGGGAAGTCTTATGCAGAATGTCCACCATTGGCCCTCCTTGTGTTGCAACTCCTGAGAGGTAAGGACCTTGAGCAGGCATTGTGGCAGCATTTATGTGGAAAAGTCAGTCTTTTGAGTACTGTGTCCTTAAGCCGTTGGGTATCTAACCAATCAGTATCTTGAGTTGCACTTGAAAATGTACTGGTAACCAATCCATTTCTGCTGCAATAAGTATAACATGGCACTATTGATACTGATCAATAAGAATGTATTCTCATCACTGAACTCAAGTCCTCCTGGTCACCAGATTTCGACTTCCCTCTTGATGAAAATAGCTTGCTTATCGTAGGAAGAAGAGTTTTCTAGTAGTGAATTTATTATATGCTAGTCTTGAACTTTGGAAAAGGTTGGGGCTACATTTGCAATTGCAACAAGACTTCTGAATTATGGAAACCCTCACATTAAACATTAGTCTTTTTGTATGGCACAGACCACAGTAGACTACTGATATGCGTGCACACATCTGCATTGCCATCACCATGATTCTACAAGGTTTTGCAAATTTTAAAAAAGTGAAGTAAAAATTACTTGTTCAGTAGGAAATTAGTTTTCTAAAGTCAGCAAATATTATTCCTAGGTATAGAATTACTATAACTTTATATTCAGCAAGAGCTTGTCTCAATAGAGACATTAACTTTCAAGTTGTGCTTGTCTTTCATAAGGAACAACTGGCTACTCATCATTTAAGTTATATCAACAAAGATCATATGGAAAATTCTAATTAGCACCTATAGAATAGTAGTTTTTCCTTATGGAATAATCATTGTAATAGACAACTTAATAGCAGTAGTAGACATTTTACACTTTGAGATACAAAAAAGGAGCAGAACTTTAACTCCCTGTGATAATGACTTACTTCAAAAATGGGTATTCCTTTCTATGCATTATGATGTGATTCACTATTGTTATCAGGACAAGCATCAGTGACCGCAATATTCTGAGCTTACAAGATCCAAGCCAGGTTTTCGTTTGTTTCAGGGCAGTTCTGTATGGATCAAAAATAGGTCCAGTAACTGAAACAATAGAATCGTGTAACAGAAGCTCTGTGGTTCAGTAAGCAGAGTTTGAGAGCTAAAGGCGCTTCTTGGATGAGAAGCTAAATGTCTTCAAAGTAAAACAAGAAAGTCCAGTTGTCTCTTGAAAAAAGTACCGTAAGGACAACCATGATCTAAGTGACTGAGAATATCCATAGACATTTAAACATAGTTTGGTTTATATATTAGTCAATTGTCTTATTATCATTGCTGAAATGATGTGATAGCTGGATGTATGTTGGGGCACCAATGACCACTATCAATAGAGACACAGATTGCTGCCCAAAGCTGCTTGAGACCTTAGGTGTAGACTGAGGTTAGAGTTATGGTTTCTGTTGCTTTAGAAACAGATTATTAAACTTCTACTGAATTTATGACCGGTTCTTTAACCATTTGCAAAGTTAACCAGAGCTGCCAGTAGAGGTGAAATTATGTGAACATTGTGCTTTACTTATTTTCTCAATTTTACATTAGTCCTCTTTCCAAAGGAGAATCTAGCCATTGTTGCCTCAATAAAAAAGAGTACAATTGTAATCTCTCTTTTGCCATTCCATTCTAGAAAAAGGAAAATCGTAGAAGTGTCTCATTATCCCTTGATGTGTATATGGAATGTGGGATGTATTATTCATTTCTTATCCAGGGCCCCAAACTCTGATTCTTAAAGACTTTAATCTTTTAGGAGTTGAGGGGCTGGATAAGAAATTTGCACTGCCTCATATATATGTGTCTCCCTGTGCATATGTGTATGTATCTGTAATTATATTTTTATTTTATATTAGCAGGGTAACCATGGTAAAATTGTTGCTAGCAATTCTTGTTTTAATTTCATTTGGCAGAATGCCTGTTAAAGAACTATTTGTCTTTCTAGTCAAGTTCTACTCTGACATCTATTGTCTATATTGCAATATTCTTGTAGTATTTTTTTTCCCTATACAGTAGTATCTTGGGTGGTGGGGAGTTTCCTGTGGAGTAACTTAGATGCTAATTTCTATAGATGTTGCTAAACTTGTTTTTTCTTCACATCAGGTGGGTTATTGTTTGCATTTTATTTGATAGATTTATAGAAAAGCAATATGGGTATAAAGACCGGTATTTCTTCATGTTTTATTGATCAGGAGAGGGCAAAGCTGTTTAGGTAGCATTTGAATTTTGATTAGTTGTAAACTGTTGGTTTCAGAGTTTCTTTTTTATGTATACATTTGCAAGTTGTTAGCATGTATGTCTTCTGCCTTTCACACTAAAGAAAATATTATTTGAGATTAGTAGAGATTAGCATTATATATGGAAAATAATATGAAAGTCAGAAATACGCAATGCACACTCTCCCCCACAAAACCACTTATTGACTCAGAGTTAGGGGAAATAAATCTTCTCCTATATATGCCACGGGCTTTATAACCCTCAATTTCGCTATGGAAGTACAGGGACGAGAAAGGAAAATTGCAAGAATGAATTAACCATGCGGCATAGGCCTGGTTACTTGGGGAACTGCCTATCTCCCATATTAAAAATGAGGTTCTTCTGAAATGAGGATCTCCCTGAAATCTCCCTT